GAAAGAGCCAGAATCAGATCGACCTTCTCTGGTGCGCAGAATAGCAGGTAAGTGCACAATTACTTATTAACGATAGAGTGCTTTGGAGAACATGCTCCTGGTTGCTGGTTTCCTTCTTAGCCCCTAGAGTTTTACATACCAAAGAGAAATGGCATCAGAAAACTCATTTACTAGCTGTATTTTTCATAATGAGCAGAGTAAAATCATAGTAATAGTCTTCCTATAACAGTGGCAAGTTAGACTATGTGCTTTTAAATTATAAGGTACTATTGTCTTTGCTGGCGTGAAAGTGTTGACAGCTTAATACATGTGGAATCACCTAGAAGACAAGCATCCAGGACAAGATGCAGGAATTATTTAGCATTGGTGCCTGCCTGTGAGGAAATGTCTTCATTAGGTTAACTGATTGATATGAGAAAACCTGTCGCTGGGCAGTGGTGGTGCACACCTTTAATCCCAGCACTTGGGAGGCAGAGGCAGGGGGATTTCTGAGTTCGAGGCCAGCCTGGTCTACAGAGTGAGTTCCAGGACAGCCAGGGCTATACAGAGAAACCCTGTCTCGAAAAACAAAACAAAACAAGAGAAAACCTGTCTTAACTGTGGGTGGGATTATTCTCTGGAGATTTATTCTTTTTTTTTTTTTTGGTTTTTTCGAGACAGGGTTTCTCTGTGTAGCCCTGGCTGTCCTGGTACTCACTCTGTAGACCAGGCTGGCCTCTAACTGAGAAATCTGCCTGCCTCTGCCTCCCAAGTGCTGGGATTAACGGCGTGCGCCACCACCGCCCAGGAGAAGGGTCTTAAAGCCACACACACAGTGACACATTTCCTCCAAGGCCACACCTCCAAATAGTGCCACTCTATGGGCATAGCATATTCAGAGAACTACACCTACTGTGCATACATGAAGCCCTAGGTTTAATTTCTAGCACTGAGTAAGTTGGGCATGGTAGTTCAAGCCTCTAATCTGAGCACCGAGGAGATCAAAGCAGGAGGATCAGAAGTTTGAACTCATCTTCAGTCATACATAGTGAGTTAGAGACTGGTCTCAATGAGACCCTGTCTCACCTGGAAAGAGCTATTTGTTGACAGCTAGTCATTTATGTCTTTAATCCCAGCACTCAGGAGGTAGAAAGCAGGCAGATCTCTGTGACTTTGAATGGTGAGACACTGAAAAATAATTAAAATAAGATAAAAAGCTGTTTCTGGTTTTACAAAAGAGCCTAAAACAGTTTTGTTTTTGTTTTTTTTAAAAAAAACTTGGGCTCTGCTTCAGGCTAGTTTTTTTTGTTTGTTTGTGATATGCTTTTCTATTTCTTTTTCTTTTTTAATGTGTGTGTGTATATATATATGTATGTATGTATTCACTTTACATCCCAATCACAGCTCCCCTCCCTCCTCTCTTCCCAGTCCTACCCTCTCAAATACATCCTCCATTGCCCCTCCCCTTCTCCAAGAAGTGGAGCTTCCCTTAGATACCAATCTATCCTGGGATATCTAGTCCCAGCAGGACTGGGCACATCCTCTTCCGCTTAGACCCAACCAGGGAGCCCAGGTATCGAGAAGGGGGTCCTACGAAAGGGAGTAGAGATTGATGCAGCCTCTAGTCCACTTGTTAGGGGACCCACATGAATACCAAGCTGCACATTTGCTACAAATGTGTAGGGGGGTCTGGGTCCGGCTCCTGCATGCTCCCTGGTGCATCGCCTTAGGCTCTGTGAGCCCCCCATAGTCCAGGTTAGTTGACTCTGTGAGACTCTATGTGACACGCTTTTCTTTATTGAAATTGAATTTATATATGGAACCCTTACATACAACATACCTTTGATGTTCTGACATGTATCTGTATGAAACCATTACCACAATCAAAATAATAAGCATTCTTGATCTCTCCTATAAGTGCTCTAGTGTTTGAGTGCCTCCTTTTTACCCATTCTCATTACCTCCAAGAATGAACTGCTCTTCTAGATGAGTTTACACTCTTAAAATTGTATGTGACTAGAATTGTCACCATACATTTTCTTAAGTGAGGCTTCTTTTTGGAAACAAGGTTACTCTGTAGATCAGGCTGAACTCAAACCTTTATCCCTCTGGGTCAGTCTTTCATGAACTATAGCTGGTTGTATCCATGTTGTTGAATATGTAGTTCATTTCTTTTTATTGCTTAATAATAGATTATATCTATTTTTCTGTGAATAGTAATTTGAGTTGTTTCTAACCAAAGTTGCTGTGAATATTTATGTATAAGTATGAGCATGGGTATAGGAATGTTTGTCATGTGAGTTAATACTTAGAAGTATTATGGCTAGTGCGAATATACAGTGTTTCAGGAAACTACCCCAGGGCTGAAGAGATGGCAATGGCTGATTTTCCAGAGGTTCTAAGTTCAATTCCCAGCAGTCTTCAAGCTTCTTATTTTTAAGGTGGCTAGACATTTGATATTCCTGTCAGCAGTATTTCCTGCTTGCTCCACATCTTGGTAGCACGTGAAATTGTTCGTCTTCTTCATTATAGCCATCTAGTACATAGTGCTGTTACGTTATATTGTGACATCCACATATCTTTGCTGAGGTGTCTGTTCAGTCATTTATCCTTTTTTGTTGTTTTAGTTTTTTGACACAGGTCTTCCAGTGTGCCCAGATTGACCTCAAACTCAGCAGTCCCTGCCTTAGGCTACTAAGTACTCTATGGGCATTCTATACTATGTCCAGCTCACTTGTCCTTTTTTTTTTTTTTTTTTAATTTAAGGAGCCAGGCAGTGGTGGTACACACCTTTAATCCCAACTCTTGGGAAGCAGAAGCAGGCAGGTCTCAGAGTTTGAAGCCAGCCTGGTCTGCAGAGGGAATTCCAGGACAACCAATAAGGATTTCATGTACATGTTGTTTTGTCTGTATGTACATCTGCATAACAGAAAAGAGCATTGGATGGATCTCATGGACTACAGTTAGAGATGGTTGTGAGCTGCTGTGTGGTACTGGGAATTGAACTCAAGACCTCTGGAAGAATAGTGTTAACTAACCACTGAGCAACCTCTCCAGCCATTAGTCCATTTTTTAATTAGATAGGGTTTTTTTTTAAGTCACTGTGTTTGTTTGTTTTTTTTTTTTTATTTTATGTACATTGGAGTTCTGCCTCCATGTATGTCTATGTGAGCATGCTGGGTCCTCTGAAACTGGAATTATAGACAGTTGTAAGCTGCAATGTGGGTGCTAAGAGTCCTTTGGAAGAGCAGCCAGTGCTCTTAATCAATGAGCCATCTTTCCAGCCCACTATTACTGAGTTTCTTTGTTTGTTTGTTTGGTTGGTTGGTTGGTTGGTTTGGTTTGGTTAGTTTTTTGTTTTTCGAGACAGGGTTTGTCTGTGTAGCCCTGGCTGTCCTGGAACTCATTCTGTAGACCAGACTGGCCTCGAACTCAGAAATCCACCTGCCTCTGCCTCCCAAGTGCTGGGATTAAAGGCGTGTGCCACCACTGCCTGGCTTATTACTGAGTTTTTATATGCTATGGATTTGTGTTTCCCTGAGAAATGTGCCTAGAAATGTTTTCTCCCCAGTCTTTAATTTCTAAATATCGTCTTGAACGAACAGTTTTAAACTTGAAGCAAACCTTGCTTACCAGGCCTTCTTAATGGATAACACTCTTGTTGCTATGCCTCAAAAACACTTTGCCTAACCATCAGCAAAGGTATTCTCTTATAGTTTAGGTTGCACATCTAGAGGCTTTAAATTTTTAATGTAAAAAACCATTATAAAGAGCCATCACATTGGTAAAGATACTTGTTGCCAAGCCTGACAACCTGAGTTTAGTCTTTAAAGACTGACAACATGGAGGAAGGAAAGAGCCTGTCCCCACAGATACCCTCCTGTGAATCTGTTGATAAGCCCAGTTGCCAGCCCAGGACATCTAAGTATCTAAGATGTTGGTTTACTACCTTTCTCTTTCTGTCATCTTTTCAGATCCACGAGAGCGAGTGAAAGAGGATGACTTAGATGTTGTTCTCAGCCCACAGAGACGAAGCTTTGGAGGTGGCTGCCATGTGACAGCTGCTGTTAGCTCCAGACGCTCTGGCAGTCCATTGGAGAAAGACAGTGATGGGCTTCGCCTGCTTGGTGGACGAAGGATTGGTAGTGGAAGGATAATTTCTGCCCGAGCCTTTGAGAAGGATCATCGTCTTAGTGATAAGGACCTGCGCGACTTGAGAGACCGAGACAGAGAGAGAGACTACAAGGACAAGCGGTTCAGGAGGGAGTTTGGAGATAGTAAACGTGTCTTTGGTGAGCGTAGACGAAATGATTCATATACTGAGGAAGAACCAGAATGGTTTTCAGCTGGACCCACCAGTCAGTCTGAAACCATAGAGCTGACTGGCTTTGATGATAAGATTCTAGAGGAGGATCACAAAGGTAGAAAAAGAACAAGGTGACGGACTGCCTCTGTGAAGGAAGGCATAGTGGAGTGCAATGGAGGGGTGGCTGAAGAGGACGAGGTGGAAGTCATTCTGGCCCAGGAGCCCTCTGCTGATCAGGAAGTTCCAAGGGATGTCGTCCTACCTGAACAGTCCCCAGGAGAATTTGACTTTAATGAATTCTTTAACCTTGATAAGGTGCCGTGCTTGGCTTCAATGATAGAAGATGTTCTGGGGGAAGGGTCAGTCTCCGCCAGCCGCTTCAGTAGGTGGTTCTCTAACCCAAGCCGGTCAGGGAGCAGATCCAGCAGCCTTGGATCCACACCCCATGAAGAACTTGAGAGACTGGCAGGTTTGGAGCAAGCCGTCCACTCTCCTGGACAGAACTCGGGGAATTATTTTGCTCCTATACCATCGGAAGACCATGCTGAAAATAAAGTGGACATTTTAGAAATGCTACAGAAAGCCAAAGTGGATTTAAAACCTCTTCTTTCTAGCCTTTCTGCAAATAAAGAAAAACTTAAGGAGAGCTCACATTCAGGGGTTGTACTTTCAGTCGAAGAGGTAGAAGCAGGGCTGAAGGGCTTGAAGGTGGACCAGCAAATGAAGAATTCAACTCCCTTCATGGCAGAACATTTAGAGGAAACCCTGAATGCTGTGACTAGCAATCGGCAGCTCAAGAAAGATGGAGATATGACTGCATTTAACAAACTAGTGAACACCATGAAGGCAAGTGGGACATTGCCTACCCAGCCCAAAGTCAGTCGTAACCTTGAAAGTCACTTGTTGGCCCCTGCTGAGATTCCAGGCCAGCCTGTTCCTAAAAACATCCTTCAGGAACTTCTGGGTCAACCAGTTCAGAGACCTGCTTCTTCCAATCTTCTCAGTGGCCTTATGGGGAGCTTGGAACCTACTGCATCTTTATTGAGCCAAAGAGCACCCTCTCCTCCAATGTCACAGGTGTTTCGAACTCAAGCAGCCTCAGCAGACTACCTTCATCCAAGGATACCATCACCAATTGGTTTCCCATCAGGACCCCAGCAACTACTTGGAGATCCATTCCAAGGCATGCGCAAGCCCATGAGTCCTGTCACAGCCCAGATGAGCCAGCTAGAATTGCAGCAAGCTGCTTTGGAGGGGCTGGCCCTACCACATGACCTTGCAATACAGACCGCACCCTTCTACCAGCCTGGTTTTGGCAAACCACAAGTGGACAGAACCAGAGATGGGCTCAGAAACAGGCAACAG